TTCAAACGTCTCTGTACAGACGTTATCTCCTTCTCTGCTCATGTGTGGAACCGACACAATACAAAAACAAACGTGGGCATTCTGTCTCTGGATGTCTGATGGCATCTGTGCTCATTACTTACGGACGTCGTAGCCTTTGATGGTGCAGAACATGCTGAAGGCCTGAATCAACCAGCAGCCGTTCTTCAACAGACTGTCCAGGAAGGCACACGAACCCAGCTGGTCACAAACACAGCAGGGAAGTTAGAATTAACAGTAAAAGAACGAAAGGGAGAAAAAAACAAACTACTTACAGACAGTAGGTTTTTCATAGCGATCACAAAGCAGGTGTAGCCAATGAGCCAGTCCCACAGACGCAGGATGTATTTGACCGGCTGCATCAGCACACTGCCTCCAAACAACATGAAGTAGAAACAGGCCACCAGGTATCCAAGACAGAAGATGTTGATCCGAGTGGTGCCGGTGATGAAAATGAGGCAGAGCACCAGCCAGAAGAAATAACTGAACACAAACACCTTCACCATGTCCAGGTAACACCTGAGAAGGAGACATGACGATGACAGGGTTTTTTATGTTGACATTTTATTAGTTAGTTACCAGTCTGTATTTGTTGAAGGTTAACGTGCTTTGAAACTTCTTATGATTTACCATGTTTTAATTATTGTACTATTTGGAGTAAATCTAATTCATATGTAGTAAAACTTGAATTCAAAAGACAAAGGGAAAACAAATGCTTTATTTCTGGCCTTAGTTTTACCATAAGTTGTAAAATTACTGTCGACAACAAAGATAGGCTGCAGCAGAAAGTTTAATAAAATCCATAAACAATGGGACCAATCTATCTTGGAAATGAAAGATGTCTTTTAGTGCTTATCCAGCACTTTCACTTTACCAGAACAGCTTTCATGGGTTTTACAACAGACATAAATTAACGATCTAATTCCATCCTTTAATGCACCTAAAATGACCACAGACTCTTAGTTTGGTGGACTCTCAGTTCTCAACCTGCAGTTTAACGGCGCAAGTAAACGGGTGACGTTCATAACTAGGTGCTTTGTATTTAGTTTCAAGCCTTTTCTTGTTGTTACTTAATGTAAACACTGAGACATCCCTTCTTGATGACTTCTTAAGGTGTTGATAACAATTAAAAAGTAAAAAAATGAGGTATAAGACAACCGAGCTGACCTGCAGTGAAGGAAGTTATTGACAGGTATGAACTGGTTGAAGGAACAAGGGTCCAGACTGCGGCTGATCTCTACGTTGTCCCCAGCCAGGAGTCTCACAGCTGCACGGTTTTCCTCCTCGAAAACCTGCCACTGCAAAGACGAGCAGAGCAACAGGAGGTGGTCATCTGCAGAGGAAAATGGAGAAACAGGCCCAAGTGACCAATCACATACTGTGAGGGATGACAAAAATGTAGGCGATGAGAAAACAGGTAGAGGCGATCTCACATAAGATGAATGAAGGATTTGGTCTCATGGCAAAGTCAGGAAGGTAAAACCACTTGATGACATTTGACGTCAACGGTTGACCTGCAGTTCTCCAAGGATAATCTGAGAAGTAAACAGAAATATCTGCAGTTCATAAGAATTATAACAGTATATTACAGCATTACGTGTGCAGTAGTTGTATTATGTAGTTATGTAGTCTTATTTTACACCAGTAGAAAAAAAAGTCAGTCCACAGCAAAACTAACTGAAAGGCAACTTCATTTAAACTTGAACTGAGAGTTCTTTGGTTAAAATCCTTTAACAATCCCTCTTTTATATATAATCTTTACCATAGCAATACGTGAAAAAAACACTGGCCATTTAAGAAACTATCAATATTACTTCAATTTCCATACCAACACAGAATGCAGGGGGGATGCCAATGCAGAGCAGGTACTGGAAAACCATGAGTCCTGCTGTAAAGCAGCAGTATTTAGGCCACACCTCCCCGATAGCTTTCCTGCGTCTCCGCAAGATGACAACCAATAAGGCACAGGAATGGAGCAGAGCATAGAAGTCCATCCTCTGACCTATCACATTGACTGCCACAATTAAACTGATCTGAAGAGAGAAACATAGAGATAAGTATGCTGCACCACAAATAAATCTGGACCCTAGTGTAAAATAACAAATGTGGCTAATATATCTTTGGAAAAAAATGCCACTTTTTTTGGCTCAGATAGTTACACTGTAAGATTACCTCCAGTCCAAATTTGTAGAAGCAAAAGTTTATTAAATATTTGATGCACGGCAAGACACCATGGTCCAAGTGTTGCCGAGTTATCCCCTGGAAGATGATGCTAAAAGGAGGAGCCTTGAGGTTGTTGTGGAGACGGAAGTAAAGTTGGTGGCGATGAACTGTTGCCTCAAATGCCAGCAGTGCCAACACGATCAGGTGGTTCTGCAACACAACAAAAAATCTGCACTCATCTCAAATAAAAATGAGGAATTTGAATAATACTGAGTCACATACTGAGCGTTTGACTAAAAATGGAGACGTACCCTAAGACAGGGAAGGATCCCGCCCTCGCACTTGCGCAGCGCTCCACACCAGTAGACTGGATCAACAGGTTCAATGTAGAGCATAGACCTCCTGAGCAGCTCCACCATGTTGGCCCTCAGCTCCACTTCTTCATTTAGGTCTGAGCTGTTGGACGGAGCCAGGCCCTGAGAGACGGAATGAAATGATCTGTCAGTTTTATCGACTTTCGTATCTATGAATACAGGACGACTGTGTAACAAGTCCCACAGTGTGTCTACTGTATGGGAGTGAGGTATGCTCACTCACAGCAGTGCAGTTGGAGGAGTAATCGAGGGGTTTGATGACTTTGAGCTGATAAAACATCTTGCACACCACCATGACGCAGGCCCACACAGCAGAGATGTTGCTGGCCATCGGCCTCAATCGTGGAAACGGCAGTGCAAACACCCACAGGACCAAGAACAGCAAGTTCATGAGAGAAACCTGGGCGAGTGAAAATTTAAAAAAAGTAAATACATTAAATAATAATAAACATATGTTTGAATCAGACTCTCTGGCAGTGTTGTCAGAGAGGGGAACTGAAATCTGTTCAGGTGTACATTCAATCCATGCGGTGATGTTCAGACACAGCATCTTCAGACTGATTCCACCAAGGTTCACTGCAGAGCGCCACAGGAGATGATTCCTGCCTGGGGCCAGACTGTTTACCTCCTCTGTCTGAGTGTTATCAATATTACACTCACTGGTCAATGTGCTGCAATACTGTTCTGTGCTTTTTGTTTTCTTTCTGGTCACTAGAGCAAAGATCTGAATTGATCTGTGCAGTTGTTTGGTCAAAGTGTGTCTGTGTGAGAGTGTGAACGTGAGCAGAAACAGCCACACACACTGTCCTTTGATTATGACCCATCACCATAGTGAACAGGGGGCAGTGTGTGGGGACCATGCCATGCTCAGTGCACCTCAGTGACATCTGGTGGCAGATGGATTCAAACGTGTGACCTTCGAGACTAAAATCTCCTTCTTTATCCACCAGACCACCACTGCATCTGAATCTCTTTTCCATTTCTTACACGGAACTATATTTTCTCTTGCTCTTTAAAAAAAGCTCTTACATCGCCGTTAGCCGTAAACCTTACATTTCTAATCAATAAAGTTTTTCTCTGACATCAAGTTTTCATACAGACACACTTTACATGCACACATTAAACATATCACCTCTTGCACTGACACCCAGATAATACCAGAAGAAACTATTTTCAGGCTGTGAAGTTCCAACAGTCTCCAGCACAGTTCCTGGAGCCTGTGGATTCCAGACAGAGCCTGAATGATCAGCAAACTGGCACGGTCCACAATTATGATCCACTTGTTCTCTTGATCATTGGTCACAGATCCTGGAATGGAAAGAAAAGTGAAGATTGATAAGAAAAAATAAGGGAAAAAGTAGGAAACATCAGAAGGAACAACAGATTTGGTTCTGGGCTGCTGTTACCTTCCTGTCTTGTCTCTTGCTCTTCAACTTCTCCGTCAAAGGAGCTCTGCAGTTCAATGCTGTCCAGAGTCTCTTGGCTTTTTACACTTCCTATTTGGTCCTTCACTAGTCTAAGGATCACAGAGAAGGTTGTTATGTGATTATTAGCTTTTCTTCAGAAAAGAAGCTTAGAAAGAGTTATATTCAAAGGGTGTACAATGTAAGAAAAATACTTTTTCTGAAGCTTTTCAATGTTTTCTTTGATGCTGAAAAACAAAATAAAGGCAGATGTAAAATATTAAAACAAATTGTGCAGTATTTGGATGGGCATTCATAGTAATTCAAATGCAGCACTTACATGTCAGATATCATATTGACTGAATTTTGGAGTTCTTCTGCTCTGGGTAGGGAAAACAGAGTTTCGTAGTACATCAAAAGTCATTATTTCATTTAAATTTCATGACATGAGTGACCTTATCTATATTTTTCCTTTCTGAAATGTTGGTTTTTGTCGTCTCACCTTGTGGTTTGTCTGACAGGTACATTTTCCAGGTCGGTGAGAGTCAGGAAGTCTGCGTTAAAGTAATGCAGCTGGAGAATACAAGCTAATAGAAACGCAGCAGGAAGGAGGATACGTGCAAACAACTCCACCGTGTCGTATCGCTCCAGACCGATGTCACGAAGACTGGAGAACAAAAATCACTCATTCATTTTTGAAAAACTGACAAAAACAACGTTCTAAAATAAATAACACACAGAGACTGACCCTTCCTCTGACATGCCCATGATCTGCCTGAACAGTCCAGACACACTCCTGAACTGGTACATGTAGATCACTATCAGCACCACCATGGAGTAACCAACCACCACTGCCCAGAACGTCTTCAGGACACGACGCCAAACGTCATAACGGATCTGTAAAAAGATGCTTTACTTAGAAAATGTTTTCAATTTCAAAATTATATTTCAAACTAGAATTAGTGTATGAGGCAAACAGGTAAAAAACCTGCTAACTACCATGCTTGAAAAATTCAATTTTCCTAAAAGCTTTCTTGTTCTATTAGATTTAAATGTGAACTCAGACTTGTGCACTCCTCTGTCTACCTTCATTCTAATTCACGATTGCACACTGCAGCATGTTAATCAGCAGTGTGCAGCAGTGTGCAGCAGTGTGCTGTCTGAACAGACATGCTTCATTGTCTTTCATCACCTCTGCAGCCATTAGTCCTTCCTGTAAGTGCCTGCTGTTTCTTTAACATCAGCAGAAACTCAAGATGAAGAAGAAACACCAGGAAGACGGCTGAACGGAAAACGGCTGTTTCAGTCATAATCAATAGTTTTAACTGTTAAATAGTATTGATGGCTACAGGATAGAGTGTGTTTCTGTGAGAGATAACACAGTTATTGAAACTCTACAGCCATTCTAGACCTATTGCACACATATTAGTGTTAAATGAGTGACAGGTGATAATTTAGGAGATAACACATCACAGCGTTAAGTGAACGTGACTTTGAAACTGCTTCAAAATGCTACTGAACATTAACTTGTTTTTTACTTGATTATTGTTTTATTGACTTTATTATTTGTTTTAACCCTGACATAAACATTACTCACATGATAGAGGACGACACAGAATAAGAAGAGAACAATGTAGAGGATCTTGTAGACGACCACCTAAGTAAAAAAAAGTTAAAGATTTAAAAATGTAGCAAATATCATATGTACAAAATATGATTGCGTGTTGTTTTTCTTCATTCAAATGTACAATATATTGATATAAATATATATAAAATAATAAAAATATTATGAAGAATATATATTATATAAACACATACTGTATATATATATTTTACATGTTTAGCTCAATTTAGCTATTTTATAAATTCCTGTACATTCATATTAACCTCTATAAAATATATATATTTTTAATCCAGCTTTTCAACTCCCTTCTGTGGAAATACCTGCAAAAAAACTCAAGATCACAAACCCTTTTTGTCACCCTGTCAATAAGTACCTTTCCAGAGAAGCTGACCACAAAGAACATGGAGCAGCAGAAGAGTATCCAGTATTTCACCAACGTCCCCTTCACTCCTGAGATCAGCATCGTTAACAGAGGTGATGGTTGATTTTCCTCCACTTGATCAAGTCAGTCAGAAATACGGATAGAAGAGCAGAGAGGGGAGGGGTCATGTTAGTATCGTGTGCTAATACATGTTCATACTTTCACTTTTAAATGAAATCTGGTCTCTAACACATGAACCTTAACCCAGACCAACAAACAGCACATTAGTTACATGACATGACTTTGACTTCATCCAGAGACTCGTCCTTTAAGCTCTGCTCCTCCTTCCTCTCCACCAGCTGCTGCCGAAACATCAGCCAAAAGCTGAAGCTGTAGAAAACCTGCAGCACACACTTTATTATAAGTACAAAAAACATACAGTTTGCAGATTCAATGTAGTCATTTGTTCATTCCAATCAAGCTGAATGTTTAGTTAGTTCTCTGAATGATGACTATTTTGAAAAGCTGCTGTAGGTGGAACTTTTGTTTAATACAGTGAAAATGAAGCTTTTAATGATGGGTTTATAGGATCAGAACAGAGCAGTTCCTTCAAACACGGTTGTGACTTTTCACAGCCACATTTTCAAATGGGCCGACATCATGAGCAGATCTGAGACAGTGGTGCTCAGGCAGCTAAAAGGATTTCATTGTTTTATTACGTTCCATCAGAATTTAACACTGCAGTATTGTGTAAGATGCCAGTGGCAGTTTAATGTAGTGAATCTATAAACCTTCACAGTCTTGATGAGGCCAATATCAATGGATATTGATAAAGCCATTACTCTAACAGTGAAGGCCCAAAAGGAGTGAGTGAACTACACGGGAGCAAAATAACTCCTTTGGAATGAATATCTTCAGAATATAAATCTGTGTTTTACCGGATATTAACACTGCTACAAACTTCAGGGCTTTTTCAATAGAATTTAATGTTGATTTTTGCAAATAACACAAAGCACAGTCTATGGAGTTTGACGATGTAGGAGTCAGTGCTGTGTCTGGGCAGCGACTGGGTTCTTCAGAATAGTAAGCTATTAATAAATACGTTAATAACTAATGGATAGTTGACCTTGGCTCCCAGGTGAACGCAGGGTGCAGGGTGGTAACCGTTCAGGTCGAAGTCCACGATCACAGCAGGGGGGAGACCCGGGTACAGCTCAGACCGGCTCAGGCGCAGCCCGCTCAGGAAGCCCAGCACCAGCAGGACGGTGCCATAGATGGCCAGGAACGGAGCAGACATCATGGCGTAGCGCCGTCGGTCTCTCATCATCCAAATAATGCAGGACCAAACCAGCAGGGCGAACGTTAGCCAGTTGTTGTAGGTGATACTCCACACCTGGGCATTTATATTTACAAATTACAAGTTAAGTCTGTAGAATTAGCTAAATGGCTTAGTATTTGTTCAGCTTTCTGTGATTACGTAAATAACTCTTCGTTTTTCATATAGTCAACAGCTAATGGACGCTCTCAAGGGTCGCATAGTTTATTCTTTTTATAATAGTAAAAGTAAAATTTCGGTTGAACCGGTTATTTTTCTTCTTGTGTGGGTCAAGAAGTTTATTGTTGCTACTGTAATGAACGAGAGACGCTAAAAAATAAAAAGCTCACCGGCGACCGTTAATTTAAAATGTAACGACGACTTAGTACGGTACAGTATCTACGGACGTCGATGAAACACACTGTTAACGTGTAAAAGAAACGTAACAGATATATTTAACAGTGTCTTCGATGCATGTTCAATGTAGGTTCATTATTTACAGCGGTAAATATTAATTATATCTCTAATTTAATTATTTTCTAATGAGTAGAGAAATAGTCCCAGTAGGTGGCAGTCATGTAATTAAAAGTCTGACAGCCAAACTAACAACCCACTAATGGAGTTGGAATGGTTTTACAAGATCGAGCTCCAGAAGTAAACTCTTTGAATGTAATAAACTTCTCGACTCTCGACACTTTCTTTTCTTACGGAACACAATTCTGAGATTATACCAGGTGGATTATAGTTCTTAAATTAAACATGTTGTGGTTTAAGTGTCAAATTATAAACTTTGGTAGTGTACTGTGGTGCTGTACTGCTGTGGTTTGTTTACATGTATTTCATATATGCAGTAGCCTGTCTTCAACAAAGATTTAAACGTGAAAGCGGATGAAATATACATATGGATGAATTTGGGTAAATTACCATCATGATGATCAGAGCACTGACATAGCTGTGCTTTTGTACCAGCTGTCCAAAAACGACCAAACCACCTGGTCCTGATGGAGGAGGTGAGGACACTGCTGGACTCTCTGCGACTTCCTCGTCCTCCTCAGTCTTCTCACGTTCAAGTTCCCCTTTCCTATCGGCATCTTCCGGACTCTCTGTCTCTACACGGACCACAGGTAAAACATATTATTGTTAATACTCAGTGACTTGTAATAGTAAATCAGTCTACGACGGTAACAAAAGTGATGGTTTATAGATTAGAATAGATTTACTTAATTACTTATACTGTTCGATGGAGAGTCTTTGTCTTCATACTGTGGTGGAGCAGAACAGTTTGTGTAACCAGCTCCTCCTAAAAGAGATCCCAGGTCATTCATATGGAGATCCTGCCAGGAACTGCTGGTCATTAAAATCATTGGCTGAGAAAACAGAGTAAAAGTGCATTTAATTATGACAAGAAAAACGTTTTTTTTTTTTAATGGTATTACAGCTATTTAGCTTTTAAAGACTACTTACCTCATCAGGCAGATATGTTTCTTCATCTGTGCTGCTCAAAAGCTGAAAAAATAGTGTAGTTGAACGTTAAACAACCCCAATATGACTAGAAATGTCACAGCACTAGACATGTGTATATTTTTTTATTATTGTTTAGCTGATGGCTTGTTTGGAATCTATTGACACTGACGCAACAAATATTTATAAATTCAAATCACCTCCTGTTTATCTCCTGAAATGTAGATGACCCTGGAGAAGCTGGGAGGAGCATCTGGACTTTCTAGTGGACTCTCACATTCTTCATCTTCTTCGTCAACATTATCCTGAGGAACAGAGTGTCTGTGAAAACCCTGTCATGTAAGTTAAACCATGTACATATGATGTAATGTTGTTGAGTTCAAAGAACAGCATTTACACAAAATACATCTCTACATTAGCTGTAGCATTAAGAGCAGTGGTACTTAACATCAGCATAATTAAGGTACACTGGACATTAGCCTTTGAGTTTGAAATTCTGCACCCCCCCGCCCCAAGCACTTAAGAGACATAAGAGACACATTGATTGCAGCCCAGTTGGTGCAGAGGTTGTAGACCTTTGGTACACTAACATCGTGCCACCAGTAGGTGTTTGATTGCACGAGTTGCACCAACAGTTGTCGTTACACACACACACACACACACACTCAGACAACTTAAATTAAGCAAACCATTTCTGTCATGTGAACCCATTTGTGCAGCAGAGCCACCAGTGTGTAGTAGAGCAACAGCAGGACAAACGGATTGATGAAGTCAGGCCAGCTGACATGTGGGTGCAGACCGAGACTGTGGGGGTCTGAACTGTTGGTTCTGATGACACCCGTCATACCAAATAACCTGTGGGTTGAATAAAGACAAGGAGAGATGGTGAAAAAGTAGTGTTTTCTAACTCTTTGGAACTCCAGTATATTCTTTTCAATCTGCCTCATACATGGGATAATATGATAAATGCTGAACTGAAATGACTGTTAACTGAGTGACTCTTGGCAAACATTGCAGCGTAAGGGTATTTTACAGCACATGTTTTAGAGATGACTCACCTTACTCTATAGTGAATGCAAAACTTATAATGGAATCTTCTAAAAGCTTTTGTCTTTTTGTGAGATTGTTAACATCAATGTCAACACGGACTTGTTTTGATATTTATTTGTAAAGCACCGTGTGTGTGTGCAGCTTTACTTGACTTTATCTATATCGGTGTTACCTTGCATAGACATCGTCCGGTGGTACAATCTGTTGAGATAAAGGCAGCTGGTAGAGGTACAAAGCCATCAGATGTCCTGCGCTGAAGATGGCCATCATCACACAGAGGGAACTGAAGAGGAGCAGGCTGAGAGAACGGCCAAACACCCACCACCATACCAGTCCCAGAAATATCCCAAAGTACACACCTGAGGTGAGTGAGGGCAGGATAATACCTGCAGACACACACAATTACCCCATCACATGATACTACTCTCCTCCAAAAATGATATATATTTTGTACTAAGTAAAACTAAAACAGTAAAACACCGCAGTCAACCAAAGTTCTGACTAACTGGGCAAAATTCATGTCAACTATAAAGAATTATTGAGGAGGAATTGTCAAGAACAAAAGTCAAAACAGATCTCTTTCTGTTGGTTTTACTGCGTGACTTTTTGAACACACAATGTCTACTAGTTTTGGTGTTCTACATCGTAGTGTATTCCAGTGAGTCTCGAGCTCTCTTTATCTACGTGGTTTATAGGCTTCTGTGTTTGAGATCAACAGTTAAGTAAATTTGTTTATTCTGGGGACATTCTTTCAAAGTTGACCACAGGAACAGGACCACCTGCTATAATGGGGTGGGGTCTGCCACACTAATCAGCCATCACCATCATATTTTTCAGTTAATACTGGAATGTTGAGCACACTTGTATCTGTTTGCTTTTAATTTGGTATAAAGGACAAAGTGTCAGGTTTGAAGGATGCTGTTTCTCCTCGGACATACTGTACCTGCCAGACCCAGCAGTAAAGTCACCACCACTTTCCCTGCTGTGTTCATTATTGCTGACAGCAGCAGCCGCAGTCCAGCTGCAAACACTATGAGCTTCTGAACAAACTGAGGTGGAGTTGCTTGAACTGGCACAGTAGTCTCCTCCGAGCTGTCAAAGGAGGAGCCCTCTGTGTCACTTCCTTCCTCCGACTCTGACTCCACGTCAGAAGTCTCCACTTCCTGCAAGTTCCGTATAATTGTTTTAATTTTTTTTTTTTTTAAACAAAACACATTTCATAACCTGAAAATATTTAATGAGGTCGCTTTTAATCACCTCGGGTTCAGTGGGGGGTATTCCATTTTCATGGAGACTGACTTGGGGAACAGGACGCAGTAGTTTTGTGCAAAGTCTCAGGATAAATGTAGAAGAGAACAGGAGGCCCAAGTCTGGAGCAAGGAGACGTACAGTGTTCCCTGGATCCACTGAACTGAACCTGAAAATACAGACAATAAGTATTATTACTGTGTTGGAATGAAAAGCAAGGATTACTAAGGAGGATTGATTAATGTAGACAGGGATAGGTGGGAAGGTTCTTACTATTTATGTTGTGTTTGCTACATTAACAACAACCATTCAAAGTGGAGTGGTGTAAACAACTCTTATATAACTCTGTCCTTTAGGTGGAATATCGAGAACTAATTAAATGTTGTTCTTCATATGCTTATACGGCGTACTCTGTAGCCATGAACGTTGATTGATCAACCAATTAAACTTAAACAAAACAAGATTTGCCAATTTTACAAAATCAATGAAGAAATTGAGTAGAACGACAATTGTCAAGTGAGTTAAGGAGATGAGGCAACTGGGTGATAAACAAGTTGTTTGGACAAATCTGTCGGAGTTTCGTGAACTTTATCTTTAAGTAACTGTACATGAAATATGTGAACTGTTACCTTACAATGCCCACATGGTAGAGGATCCCATCCAAAGGTCCACTGACTGTTGAGAAAAGACAAACTCTTTAAGCCATTTGTTTTGTGGTTAATTCACTTTTTTTAAATTGTGTGTTTCATTTTATGTTCTATTCTAATTATGACAAGTGAGCATTTACCTTGTGCGGGAATGTAGGAGAAGGGAATCTGCATGAAGCATTGTAAGGCCAAGAATATCACACAGGTGTAAATGATTATTCGCAGGAACTTCCCTGTTTTATCTAAACACAACAGAAAAGAGTGAGACACATGTTAAGTTTGACATATATTTAGGCATATTGAGTTTGTAACTTAATCACAGTTCACATCACATCCTGGAACTAAAAGGGATATGGATAAAAAAGCTTAACATTAGCTGACTCGGCTAATGTGCTATTGATGTTTAGCATTTTTTTTACTAAAAGCTTTATTTCACTTAAACCGTTCTGCTTCTGTAAAAAAACGTTTACATCTCCACGTACACACACATACGTGCACAACCACACACATTGGTGAAGTCACAAATACCCACGGAACAATAGACCACACACACACATATATACACACAGGATGTACACACACTCTTGACCACTTAGCCCAAGGATAATGAGCTCATGTAAGTGAGATTAATATAACAGTGGCTTATGTGAACATTTCAAAGACGGGCAGAAAATGCAAACAGTTTCAGATGGAGTGATGAGAAGAGAAGGAAAGACAGGAAAATGCCGTCAGAACGCTGACATCACATCTCTTAATTCCTAACTGTAATTACCAGGCTATCTATAATTGATTTGACCGTTCCAACCACATCCCCTTTACAAAGTACTCCGAGGGAGGGATGAATATGCTTTAATTCGTCCGAATGCAGTGATCAATACATACGTACACCCAGCAGACAAACACACTCTATTTAAATCTGTGCTGCTGTATCAGCAGTCTATTTTTTTATTATTTAATGTTAAACTTTTTCAACATTTTAAAGTTTCTTATTTACTTTAACAAATATTAAGTATTAATTGGACAGTTTATGTTGTTGAAGTATAAAGAAAAAAGTGCAAACACAGTCAAATGAACAAAAAGATGATGTTTGTAAAGAATTACATGTCATTTTACTTTAGCCAAAACATTATTTGATATTAATCACATTTTATAGACTTGTAAAACAGATCCAGATGCTAAACATTTTGATTTACACACTGAATGTCACTGAAATACTTACTATAAAATATATTAAAAATGTTAAGGTCAAAATGATTTCCTTTTCTGCAGTTAAGAGATATAAAAGAGAAAATTATTTTTATCATTTATAGGTGTTTTTATTACTATAACCGAAACAATTTTCCCTTTTTGGAAATATGTTATCTACTATAACATAGTTCACGTTTTAGAAGTTTGAAGGTTCAATTAAATTAACTCACCTTTCATGGAGACAAGGCTGGGGTTTGGCATCAGAGGTAGGACGAGCAGGAACGTGAAATACACGACTGACAGACCATTGTAGCGGAACACTGAAGCTGAGAGGCAGAGGATGAAGACAACACTTCACAGTTACACTGTTGTTTTATTTAAAAACTATGCTAAATAAAAGTTATTTATGCCAATTATGATTAGGTCCCTGTTAAAAAAAATTCTTCTTTAACAACATGTTCAACGGTTCTTCTGGTTTAGCATTTCCAGGCAGTTAGCAGTAATCTTGTTTGAACTGGTACTTCAAATAAGAGTCAACATTATTTATGCAGCAACAGAAAAGCATTCTTATTCAGATAAATATTTACAGAAGGATCATACTCCTATATTCCCTCTAAACTAACTAGATGGGGAAGTGGAAACCAAAAGCGTTGTTAAATTTTACACTACCTTCTTATTTCGAAAAAACGTAGCATTTATTATTTAAAGTCCCTTTTATACTACTCATTAGTGCTGATTCCTAGAGACTATAATTCAGAATAAGATTTGCATAGACAATGTGAGCAATGTTTATTAATAGTCTCGTATTACAGAAACTATTTATCATTTTACATGTAAACATCACCAGTTTTTAGTCATACATTATGAACTGTGTCTACCTAAAAAGTGTAAAGTGAGAGGATTCATCAGTACGACTAATCTCTAAAGTCCAGAATTAAGGTCGTGAATTAAGGAACCACTGATATAAAAAAATCTAAAAGCATTTATTCTGCCCTACTATTTTTTCACATCATCAACATTTTTGAACAGTTATCTTGCATTCTATGTTCAGATTGACGTTTTATGGCAGTAAAACAAACCTTTGTAAAGGCCTGTATTTAACAACATGCTCTAAACACAGAGATCACGATAACTTAAACCCTGAAGATAATTTTTATCATTTCAGAAAGTCCAGTGTTGACACTCGCAAAGTTTAACCTTATATTCTGTTAATTGGACTGTTTTTCTTTTTTTTATACTTTGACTCATTTTTCTTGATTTACAAGAATGCAGGGCACAAAACCATCATATAATATATTTTATAATATTATATAAAATATCATATAAATATTGTGCCGACAACTACAGATAGATAAACAAACTTCTGCAATGGAATGAACAAAGCTGTAAAAAAAAATCAATCTAAACCATAATAAAAAGATCCGAATTTTAACCACTGTCCTCACAGACACCATAAATGTAACTGCAAGAATAAAATGAGCAGCTGTCAACTCACCAGCCAACAGCAGCATTGGCAACAATAAGTTGTAGAGCATTCCAACCACAAGGTCCCCCGCCATGTCTCCTGTGTTCCAGTGACACCCACCGCAGCTCCGTTAGAATCTGTTGTCCTCCAGACGTGTGCACACGGACATAAACGCTTCAGCACTGTGAAGGGAAACCCCGACCTCCTCACACATGTCTCTAAAAGAAAACTTCTTCCCCCTTGGTCAGAGCATCCTCCAGTGCAGCAGAGAAAAAAGAGGGAATACGGTCCAACACATTCAGACTATAACAGGACAGAATTGAAGACAGTCAGTCAGTAAAGTCAAAAACGAGATAAGTGAGCGAGGGGTCCTGATGTAGAAGTATGTGAAGAGCACGAGTCCCTCTGATCTTTGCTGCTCTCTTGTCACACCCTCCTTCCCCTAGCTCACCTCATTCGCCTCCCTCTCTCCCTCTCTTTCTTTCTCTCTCTCCCAGACGTAATGGTTTGTAACCCATCATCTCTGTTACTATGCTTGTACCGAGGCTAATGTCACTCGGGAGAATACCCATAATCACTATACTACTAAACAAAACATGCTTCTAAATACACAAATCCTGACACGCAGACAGATGTTTCACACATACTCTCACTGCAGTCACTCTTAGTGTGCTAAAAATTATTTTTTCGGAAAAAAGGTGTGTTTTTGCTACTCCTGTGGGAAACCTGGGCTGGATTATCATGGTAAAGTCAATACCGCAGTCTGAAATGTTATTGTTTGAGACTGAGATCCTGATACTCACACTGGCTTGTGTTTGTATTGTTTCAGCCACATCAGGCTGGTTCATCACATTTATGCTGCGGGGTGAAGGGAAGTGTATCTAATATTCATGGCTATGAGGCCATTAAGAGCTGGTGTGACTATACGGAGGAATAAATGATAAATGCATGATAAATGCAAGGACTGAGATTCAGAAAAACAGCTACATTTCTTTCAGATAAGGAGGGTAAATAAAAACCAAAATCAATTGAGCCAACACTTACCTGATAAGTCGTTACTGCTATTTTATATTAATTCAATTGAATTAGAGTGTGAAAAAAAGTTGCTTTCTTAATACATTAATTTTCTTCGCTGATGGTCTGTTTGTAACTTAAAGAAATAACACCATAAAAATGGTAAATAATAGAAATAATTGAAATCCATTAAAATTAGGAATATGAATTTACAAAACAGTTGGTAAATACTGTTCAGACAGTTTGGGTTCTGAGGTGAAGTGTAATTGTTTTTAATCAGGTTCATTAAACACATTTTTATCAGCTGATCTGTCTGTTTGTTACAGAGCGTTGACGTAACTGGACTTCACTGTGTGTTGCTTTATATGCATCATCCACACAACAAACGAACATAATTCACTTGTTTCACTTATTATGTCATATTATCTTATGTTTACTCTTCAACAAATATCAAAAATGCTGTTTTTCTTAAAATAAATAATTTGAAGTCTGTGATTCATCCTGCAATGGGGAAATTCAAAGTGTGAGTCTTTCCTTTTTTATATATATATTGTTAAGAGAAAAGCAGGAATAAAAGAGGAAGACCTGAGAAGAGATAAAGGGGTGTAATGAAATTGGCTATTGGAGATTATTGGTGCAACAGTGAAAAGTTGAGGAGAGATTGTCTTCTGTCATTACTTGTAAAAAGAGAGATGCTCAAGAAGACCTTTGTCTTTCCACAACATATAAACTATAGTGAATGTTTTGGCACAAACCACTTGAAATCCACGTTAGAAAGTGCTTGACTCCAATGTAATTGAATAATTATCTCATATCTCTTCATTCATCACAACACTGCAAATTAACTAGAAGTTTGCAATCCTTGTTAACTAACGACCAAAGCAACTAATGAATTCATCTGTAGAATATTGCCGATGATGCTCCTCTGTGGGCAGATAAACCTCTTGACTCTGTGAGAGGGGGAAAAAAACCTACTCAATTACTGCTCAGCAGTGGATCTAAATTGATTATTATGAGAATGAGTGCTGAGTAGGCAGCTAACATTCCATGACAGTGCAGTTAAAAAGAACAGTGAGCGGACGTGCTGTAAAACTGTAAAAAGGTCTTGTGTAGTGATCCAGGAGGAGCGAGTGTGTGTGTGTGTGTGTGTGCTGTAGTCAACGTATTGTTTATGGTGAGACTTAATCACTAATTTTAGGTCCTCTGAACTAAAACCTCATGAAAAGTTTATAAATTAAAATCCTACCAGGTGGGAAATAGACTAGAAACTTTTCATGAACACGCTGTAACTGCTCCTAGTTAACTTATTAACCAGGTATAATACAGTTAAAATCATACAGAAAAAGAAGTGTATTTATATATTAACCTCTGAACAGTGGCCTATCTAACTTACTGTTGCACTTCATGCATGCAGTCATGGACAACACACTGTGCTGGAACTGCTGAAGTTCCAACCAAACCTCAGAATGAATAGGAAACGTGACTAAAGTGGCTTTGAATGTGTTGTTGTTTTTGCCAGATGAGCTGGACTGCTACAAGTCCTGAAGCAAAAGTATTTACTGAGCTGCAGTGCTCTTAGTAAGGACACCTTGTAAATACCAGAGGTCAGGAGGAAGTACCTATAGTGGTTTGTGCAACTGTAGTTACATGTATTACAGTTTCAATATGCAGAAGAGCATCTGAATACACAACACATTCACACTTGAGGCAGATGATTACAGCTGCAGAAGATTGAAGAACCTAAAACTGGAAACCTCACCTGAACTGTTGATTGATCATTTATGCGTTGGCTGATTGTGTTGTAATGATGTAAAGCTCTATGAGTGAGGCTGGCCCTCCTTGAGAGGTGACAGATCAGTTGAGTGGATGTGCAGAACTAGCAAAAAAAGAAAAAGGTGGCGTCGGAGAACATCTAGACTAGCTAAGGCAAAAGAGACTGCAACATGGTCATTATTTTACAGAATAATGAAATGGGGATTTTTTTGTCAACTAAAATATTAAAACTTGTATTTGAAGTTTGCAGGGTTTAATAATTTTAATTGTAACTTTGTCTAAACATTTTTTAAAAAGTTGTATATATTGTATAAAGTAACACAATGTGCATTCAGACCTAAGATAATATGACAATTAAAGGGCTCCACAAAGGAAAAAACAGAGAGTTACTGAGTAGTTTCATCTGTTAGAAAATTTCCATTCAGTGTAAGACATGTTGTTTAACACAACAAACTGCAATCAATTTAGCAGAGGGTCAATACAGCTCAGAGACTGTGTGTGAACACACCAACACAGCTAATGTTTACAAAATAAGTAGAGATCTGCAGTGGAAATTTTTCATTTGAGCCGCTGTGAGGTCTGAAGCACTGAGCTCCACTTTTGTCACAGATAAAGGTACCATCAGTTACATTTGATATATTACTGACTTGATGCACACTTAGAGTTCCAGTTAACATAAAAAAACAAGCAGAGAACAGACTGTGGCTCTAATGTTCATGTTTGCCTCGTAGATGAGAGGAAGCTCCTCAGGGATTTTGATCTCATGCTCCTGAAAAACACAGGATCAGCTCAACACTTTCTACTAAAGTCCACCACAAATCCCACAGGATGGGGCCAAGATAGGTTTAAGTACAGAGCTTAGCAAAGCTTTCAGTTCACTCACCGATGCTTTTCTGTGTCCACTTCCTTACATTGTGTTACAAACACTGCTGTTGAAGTCGCTCATGCTAATCGGGTGGAGACAAGGGCAAGAAATTAGCAGGGATTCAGGAAAAATGACCCTTAAAACCTTTAAGGTTGATGTTAGCTGTGCACAAAATATATATATTTTACCTTGAATCTCCCAGACACATAGGCAGTAGATTAATATAAAAGATTAAAACATGTTTTAATTATTGTCTAGGTTGATACGTTATATGACAAACAATATTTTTTTCAAATCTTAGAATCCACAATGAACCTCTGGTATTGCGTTTAAAATGTTCCAAGTTGCTGTGAAACATGTTGAAATTCCAGGTAGTCATAATATAGAGATAATTAAATACAGAAAAGAGAGGAGTTATCTCTGTTATCTTCTCGGTCACATTGTATAGTTTGTCTTCAATTATTACAGTTAAAACAACGCGAAATATGTGATAAGCATGACTGCATTTGAATAAAATATTCCTGAGCCAGAGTTCAGAGTGGACACTGCTGCCATCTAGCGATGTTTAGATCTCACTACAACGTTTTAAGCCCCCGAAAAGAAACTCCAAACGTTCCTTTATCTGTCTTGTGTCTGCACAGTCAGGTAGACCAACTAATTGTTTGACTGTAAATGTAGCTGTAAAATAAATATCTTTGTTTGACGGACAAACATTATACATGTTTAAGATTTGGAATAGATTTGTTGCTCAATCATAAAAGTATTTGTGAAACCAATTAATTCGTAACGTACATATTAGTTTTCGTTCTGTGCTCAGTGTTGAGAAGTACTGTGTTTTATTGGTTATTGCTGGGACAAACATGACAGCCTAGTGTTTACCTAACTTGACTTAGTTCCCTTTAACCAATGTCTGACATTTAACAAGAGTAGTTATCAAAATAGTTATATAAAACTGAAATATTAGAAAAGCTAAAGCAAGTAATATATAATTACACTGTCTTGACACCCTTTGCCACGGCAGGTCACATTGTAATAATTATATTTGTTAAACCAATAACAATTGTGATGAGACATGTAAAACACTCTGCAAAGGTCAAAACTCTGTAAAGAAACAGTGATTTTCTAAAGTAAATATGTGTCATTCACCCAGGTACACAACAAAAAGTACTTTCACCTACGACATTTAGTACTGATTATTACATTTTGTGTGCTTGCTTGTGATACACTAAATGCTACCGTGTTTAGGAAGTCGTTCCAGTGCTACGTCAGTCGGTGCAGCCTGTGGGTCGTTTCCTCCACCCTCCATATCGTGTTTTCAGCTCGTTTTCTTTGAAGGGGGCGCCGTTTTCTCCGCAGAGCTTGGCCGCCGACGATGCCCCGCGCCCGGGCCACGTGATGAAGGTCGGCGGCCTCTCCTCTCCTCCTCTGGGTTCTTCCTTCCCATGGTTCAATGAGCGCTGTGTGGCCCCACCCCGTCTCTCGTTAACGCTGTCTTTCACCTATACATACGAACTAACTTTGTCGGAGAGCGAGACTCTAACTCACATCGAAAGAAAATGAAAACGTTCCAGAATTGAATTTTGAATTTTTGTGTGTGTGTTTCATAAACAGTAGACAGGAGGGCAGCGACCTTCGATGTGCTGCTGACACAAACCACGAATTTTTATGAATGTAAATACACGAGTCTGCAGCATATTTGGACCGCCCTGCGTCCAACAGTATGTGTTCACACGTATATTAGTGTGTTTATGTTACCATGCATATGGACAAACTGTATTTTATCAATTTCTTATTGACAACAAATGGGTTTTCAGATTTGGTCACCTGTCTTTTTCGTACCTTATTTTTTGTTGTTGTTGTTGTTGCTTTTTCCCCCATCCTGTTAGTCTGATCTATGAGAGCAGAGTGTGTCGGTGCGCAGTTTTTGGAGGCTCGGTTGTGATGTGAGGGGCTGATAACATTTGAGCAACAAAAGAGAGAGGGGGAGAGTGAGCGAGGGAGAGAGAGAGTGAGCGAGGGAGTGAGAGTGAGAGAGAGAGAGAGAGAGAGAGAGAGGGCCCTGTGAAGGAGAACACAGCTAAGGAACAGCCATCACAAATAAGGACAAATCGGGAGGTTCTTAGTTCTTTCGAAGTCATATGTAACTGAAGGGAGT